CGAAGGAAAGCGCGCGCGCTACTGTACACATCAAGGGGATTGTGCGTACATGTGTACATGCAGATGCAGGTATGGGATGTATGTACATGCGGACTAGCTGCTGGCACTGCAGCTTCTGCTACCGCCGACGCCCGTAGGCCGACCTGCAGATGAAACTCGAATCGACCTGCTATGCACATTGACGAGGCGTCTATGTGCGAGAAGTGCATTATCGTCACAGCGCAGTGAGGCAGAGAAGGAACCTAGGGGATATCAAAGCATCAGAGCTGTAGAGCAGGCCCATCATCATCATCCACTTCCCTCATCCACCACCTCCTGGCTTATACTAGATGCTAGCTGCGTGGCATGTCTGCAGCGGCTGGCGTTGGCTTGGCGCGCGTGGCATGTACAACGCGCTGCCGCCAGGGCCGACGGACGGTCAACGCCCACGAGGTAGAATTTCCATTGCCTAACTCCCCGAGGGCCTGCCTACTGCTGTACGTACTTTGGACGCATGTCGCGTTTTGCCCTGTTCTGGCGGCGGTTGGTGTCGTACTCCCCCCATCCACACGCCCTCCCAGCCTACATAGTACATACATCCTACATAGTACATACAGACCTGTGGCAGTAGCGCTGCTGCGTGGTGGTGGCATACTAGAACTGGAAGCCTCGCAGATGCATGGCAGGCCTGTTGGCTCTAGCTGGGTTTCTCGTTGGTACGGTGTGCGGCTGCAAGGGAGAGTCGTCACCAACTGGCATGCTCGCAAGACTTACCTCGAACGGGGAGTGAAATGAGCCTGGGGAAGTTGGTTTCCGGTAAGATAGGCGAGTAACGGTTAGAGGCAAAGATGCAACGAAGGGATGATTAACGGCTGGATGATCAAGCATCATTCCCTGTCCCGGGCGGGCGCAGCTTGGCCAGGCCCCTCGCCCGCAGGTCAAAATGCTAATTACTCGATTGAATTTCAGGTCCCCTACCATTTACTATTATTAGCGGGGTTTTGGCATGGGGGGCTATCCCTTTGACGGGCTGGTGAGCAGCCAGAACTGGGCGCCGCGCTTCGTTTTCTCTGACGACTCCGCTCGGGCTGGATACGAGTGTCCCAGGCCCTGGCGAGACGGTGAAGATCTATCGGAATATCTCTCACTTGCATGCATGCATAAAGGAAGAGGGGGACCGGCGAGGGCGGGGGGCTGGGACTTCCGTCTGCGTCCACGCATAACGCCGACGGTGAGCTCGCTCTCGATGTTGAATTGAACTGGATGAGGGCAGACCAAGTGAGATGCTGGCTGCAGGACTGGCCTCTGCCAAGGTCGGGGAGCCCACTGCACTACTGCACACGCCCCTCCTGGGCCCCCCTGCTCCCACGACCTCTTCTCCCCTGGACTGGGCCTCTTCTTCTTCGGCTTGATACACATCAGGGTCACCCCCCCAGCCTGCGGTGATGTCGAAGCTGCAGCGGGCAAATTGGCGAGAGGCACCATGCAGGGCTCCGCTCGCTGAGAGGCACCTCAACTGCGTCAAGAGGGGCTAGTGGGATGTGGAAACAGGTTTGAGGAGAAGCTCCAGCCATCCATCCATCTAATTCTGGTATTTGCTGTGGTTCACTAATACAGTCGAGGGACAGTAGAGCAATGGCTGAAAAGATGGATCAACGCCTTCAAGGTATGTATGTTGTCTAGCCTGCTCTTGGGAGATGAGAGAGCGAGATAAGTTGGGCTACACCCATGTAGCAAATCAGTCTGGAGACGCCATCTATCATCTATCCAGGTAGTAGGGCTGCATGTAACTGTAAATCAACAAAGTAGCATGGATGAAGGATCGATCACGAAGATCCCCACCCCTGCTGCTACTGGGGAAGAAGAAGGAAGAGAAAACAATTCTCGGAAAGCCCCTTTTGGATCCGGACAACGGGACGGCGAAGAAGGAAAGAGAAATGAGACAGTTCGGATAAACGCCTTGTGTGGTTGGCTGCGCCGTGTGCGAGTGTGTGAGTGCATAAGAGCTGGTGGTGCGTGTGTGTAGAGAGGCTGCATCTTCAGCAGGGGTACAGCAGATCACGGGTGCCTCGCATATCCGGGCAGTCATTGGTCAGTGAATGCATATGTATTGATTTTAACAGAATTTTGTGGCCAGCTGGATACCGCCATTTGCTGCAAGCACGGACATGTGATGGCAGCGGCATAAGCTGGGCTCTGTCAGGTGATGAAATGGCGGAGGGCTTTTGGGGGCTCATTGGCAGCACAAACGGCGGATCTGGACTTTGGCACATCAATTACTATCAGTTGATATACCGGCCTATAATCCTTGTGTACATGCAGACATTGATTATGCCTCCAAACAGCAACATCAGATACTTTTCCAGAGGCGTAGATTGATGAGGGCCCCCAAGACACCCACAAGCTGCAATATGCAAACCCCCTTCTTCTCGACTTCATCATCACAGCATCATCCACCCATCCATCCATCTGCGCCGTGGATCCATGTCTGGATGCACCCCGATTAGACTGAGTTCACCGTATGGGAGGGACCCCCTTCTCTTGGCACGCGTCGCCCCGGCCGATCCACGTGGCATGGGTCCTGGTCAGAATCTTCATTGTTCAGGTCCCTGGTTTTTGGATTGTTTGCTTTTTCTTCTAGCTCAACACGTCCCTGTCTGTCGATTGCCACTCTGCCAACTTCCATGTGTGTGGATATCATGTGCAGTCGATCGGGCCTTCGTAGCGAGCGTTGATTGACTACTCCAGATTTCGTGTTTCATGTATATGCACGTCCAAGTACATTGGGCGTAGTAGACACACACACACGTGTGCATTAGGCCTTTTTTCCCTGCCCCGAGTCAGACGGTTGATAGCCTGCATATTGCTCGTTCCGTTGAAGATCCAAGTAGACGGCGTATTCACCCATCACCCATCCTTTCATCCTTCCTGAGACATTCCGCCTCGAACACATCCCTATTCTGTGGCACGTGAAAAGGTGCAAATGCGGACGCGCATATGCTATGCTGCAGGGGTGCTCCTTGGCCCGGACGGAAGCGTGACTACATTTAACCTTCCGTCCCTCCAATGAAGACCGGATCATAGTAATATTGAGCGGAAGAGCCTATAGAATGATGACTGGCTGGTTTAGCTTCGAGCCATTCAACCTCGTCGCCATCTGCGTATGACTTCAACCTTCTTCCATCCTGCCATCGATCGGACGATGACCGCCACTTTGGTCACCCCTTTTCCTTGGGAGTTGTGCACACCATCACCGCTGACGAGAAACGACAACTTGCGGTGTGTGCAATCTCGAGTAATGTTGCTACATCGACCTACATAAGCGCGAAGTGAGTTTGTGAGGGAGTGTGTGCGTAGATAGAATGTGCACACACGACGCCATCAGGATCCTTCCTGGGCGATCTTCATCATCCGTCTAGCCATTGTTCTAGCAAGGGCTAGAAGGGCTAGAAGGGCTACCAGTCGCTAGCCACCTGCGAAGAGTGGTGATTTGCAGTGTGGCAGGGGACCAGCTCACATATCCTCTAGCCACCTTGTGATTTTCGCGCACAACTAATCTTGCACTACCCTGTAGATGCAGCCTTAGATTACTGGAAGGTGCGGAACAACCTGGAATTGGCGCTAGAAGGAAGTCAGAAGCCTGTCACCGTGTCATCGTCAATTCATCGATACGTAATGATTTCTAGTTTGCAATATTGACGTTTTCGCCTGGGCTAGTGACGTATCGTCCGCGGCGAGGGAGGGCGAAAATACCAGCAAACGGGTCACTGGATTGATGGATGGATGGAGCGTCGATCCAGAGCAGCAGGAATCTTACCGGATCCATGCTTCCATCTACACTGCCGTTGCGGTAGCAGAGTGGCACAACGCACTGACTTGGGCAGCAATAGAGGAGGATAAACTTTGGCGCTAGAAACATCCACGGAACAGCGAACCCGAACTCATGTCCCAAGGTGTGGCAGCCCGGCACGAAAGCCCTCACGCCTCAACCTCCTTGTCATCGATTCTGGAACGGCGGCCTTTCTTTCCTATTCCAGCCGTTCCAGCGGCTGAGACGTCTTACAAGCGCAGCCTCTTGGTGATCACCTCGCGTTGGGCCTCAACCACCCCCTCCCCTTCCCATACACCCAGACCAAGTACTGACCGGCCACATTTTAGACTTCTGGTTTCTCCTCCTGTTTCTCCGGTCCGCAGACGAGGATATCGGTGGCGCAGAAGAAACGAGTCTACAGGTGACAATCTCATGTACCTGGAACAGTAATCATGGCCTAGCGCAGGGGCAGCGAAAATACATCGGCAGCGGCGGATAGCCATGTGCTCTCGCCACAGCGCCTGTTCAATACCTGCATATCCCCATATCCACATGCACGCACTTCTCGTGTGAGTGGATGCGACCGCCCTAGTGTTTTGTGGTTGAAGTTGTTGGTGGGAATCGATTACGGCTCCTGAGCTTGGGATGGAGTTACACTACACACACACACGCACAACACCTTCCCCCCTCTTATTCCGTTCCGTACCACTACAGGCCTTGTGCTACTCTGCAATTCTACATTGTACGTAACACGACCCTTGGCACCGCAGGCTAGGCCGGGTTCCTCTGAGCTATCAAGAGGCTAAACCTTCAGCTATAGTGTTCTGTGTGGGACCCGAGAACGGCGATTCGTCCCATGTAAAACATACAGTCAGCAGGCTACCAGGCTAACTCTCAGCATCCCTGGCTTAACCATGGTAGGTACAATGTGGCTATCGACCTCGAATCCGTACTGTCGCTAGGATCGGCTGCTGAAACGAAGGGCATTTGCCTACCCATGTTCACATGGCAAGATGCCGAGTAATTCACTTCGTGCGGGCAGAAAGCCGAAGAAGGATAATGAGATCAACAGGCTGGGATGTGTGTAGATATACACTGCAGGGTGATATCTTCGGTATCTACCTATGCCGCTTCTGGCTCAACCCCTCACAGCTGGGCATAGAGGGCCCCTGGATGCCACTTTGTAGTTCCTGGCCTCGGGCCATGTGCCATGTTGGAATATTGGCCGGAGATGCTGTACTCAGGGATCAGAGAGAGATGCTGGGTCGTTTCTCGCCTAATGTCCGTGCTGGTTGGATTTACCATTCTACGGGAGAACGGCGTTCTGATAGAGGACATTGTGCGCTCAACTGCCGCCCTGGGCAACCCTACTAGCCTTATGGTGGTATGTTGTTGACGACTCCATAATTAGCACTACATCGAAGGAGGAGCGCGCTCTGGGCGTGAGTTCAAACCAGATGGTGAGATGGACGTTTGGTATGGCCTCCTGGTCCTGGCCATGGTCGTAGCCAGGACCACTCTCACACACTAGGGGAGTGCTCTCCGTTTATGCCGTTGCGGAGCTTTGGCTCGTGAGCGATCCTCCGATAGATTGAATCGTACGTCTTTTAATGGAGCTGGCCAGCGAGGAAGCCTAGATCTGCGTTGGGGTCCCTTTGGAGTGGAGGGGAAATGGTACACCGTCCACCGTGTCCAGACCGAGCGATGACAGGAAGGCAGACAGCTCGCTGCCTCGTCCAATTAGGGGCCAACTTGACCCGAGGGGTGGCTAGCTGGCTGGACTGAGATTTGAGGACGGCCCTTGGCCGCTACCGAATCGACCCCGTGAAACACGAGTCGGCCGGAGTTTACTGCGTAGTAGCAACAGCGAGCTCCGAGAGATTGCTGGCCTCCAGTGCGCACATGCAAATGCAGATCAGGCTCGCAGACACCTTCTTCATCCCGCCCAAAACATGTTAGGGACGTGGTATCTGTGCCATCCTACCCTTGGCCCTTCTGACCGAGACTAGCCAGGGCGGTCCTGGAGATTGCTGATGCCGTGAACACACTTCCTCAGAGACAGAAGAAGAGAGACCCGTGCTTTTGCTGCAAGGATACCTCCCTTCCAGCCGCATCTTCTCCGGTGTGGCTCAGGAACTCAGGCAACGAACTTTCTTTGCTTTTTGCCCTCCCACCCACAGTCCCCTACATTCTCCCCCTTCGAGCCCAGCCAGGTCTGACCCCTGCCTGCATTGGCAGCCGAGATAAGCCTGACCAACATGCAGATGGAACGGCTGCACTTTCCTTACCCCTCGTGCTTGGCTGTATCAACCTGTTCTTCATGCACTTGAATCAGCCGTCTCAGCAGCGTTGCCGAAGAGACTAATGCATCTTGGCTCACTGCGGGCCGGGGCTCGCTTGTCAGCTGCGAACTGGCCCCTCCTTTGTACGCACGCCCATCCTGAGCCAACAGGAATTCTCGCCAGGACGCTTCATGGCGCTTGGAGGGGATATCGTTAGTCTGTCATTTCCCCAGCCTGAGCCAGCGGTTGGCGTGTCGGTTGGTTGGCGCGCCATCTTCCCGTCAGCCCTCGAGCCCACCCAGCTCCGATTTGAGCCTTGCTTCCTTGAATAGCATCCGTCCAAGAACCCAAGGAGTTGGGAATATCTGCTGCTTATCTGTAGGGCGTTATCTGGCCTCCCTTGGCGGCATGGATGGTGAATGACCATGCTTGTATGCTTGCTTTTTCTTATTTAACTTGCGGCGAGGCTGTGAGGAATCCTTACCCTACACTGGGGAGACAGTTTCTGTCCCTTGTCATTGCCCAGGGCATGTAACAAGGAAGTGTGAGAATAGTAGACTGTAAAGAACGAGAGCTGTTGTGTTTCGTATCCATCTGTAATGTGTGAACTTGATCTATGGCCGCACGCTGGGCGTAAAGTGTCGTTAGGGGAGGCTCTTTTCACTTTCATGGAGTGTCATCTTGATTTCTTGCCTGGTAGAAGCCCTCAACTTACACCGGGCTACCCCTAATGTATAAATTGTCATGTCTATTCTCACATTCACAACACTCCATTTGACGCACTGCTTGCAGCTGATTAAAAAAAAGCCATGCCACTGATTACCCCTGACGGTTGCCTACGAGATACTCTTTATGTCAGTTATAAAGGTTTAAGTGTAATGAGAGACAAAAGAGCTACGACCAAGGAGGAGTGAGGTGAGAATAATTTGAGCATTTAAAGAGCACAGACTCGCCAGTGTTGGGTGTTTGGCCTTTCGGAGAGTGTTTTATATATTGCCAGCTATATTCCTACTTAGCAGAAAGAGCCATCGGAAGCTCGTGGCGTAGAAGAACACAGCAAAAGGGCTTGGAACTAGAGTGTCTGGAGGGAGAGAGCTGGCCTGGATTGAGTTGTTCACCTACTACGCTGGAGTTCCGAACCTCATACGCAGAGGAGCCTACCGTTTCTCTAATCTTGAACATACTACGTACGTATATTTACTTAGGTTCTAAAGAGCTGGGAAATTACTGGGTTGAAGAGCTCTGGGTATCCATAGAGACCTTTGGTTGTCTTGACAATCTAGCTCGAGCTACCAATGATGGCGAAAGGTAAAGATAATTACTGATCTCGTGCACCAATTACATAGTCCCCAGAACGAAGCGGCCGGCATCAAGTGTCGCATCTATCAAAGATCTTACCAGTGAGATCTAATTCGAAGTGAACACTGCAACGGCCAGAGACCGTCAACCCGACATTGAGCCATCGCTAGCGTTTTGTATCATTGAAACCAGTGTACGGCCGTGGTTAATAGGTCATTTCATGGAGCTTAGGTGTTGACGAAATGATGGTTTCCAGACCTACATAGGGCCGGCCATGTCCAAAGATGCAGGCTCATTTGGAAGATTGGTGCACAGGGATGTGTTTTTGGTCATTCAATTGCTCGGGAATTGATTTCTGAACGGTGTTACACCTTTGCGACACCCAGTCCACAATGATTTCTCTCGTCTTGTTCACATGAAGAGGATATCATTATCCGCCGCTTGCCCTGGCACTTGCTTGCGCTCAACTCCGACGAGCAACCCGGACATTTGAGAGAGACGACCGGGTTAACCTGGTTGATGCTGGCTTCTAACACGCTTTGAATGCTCCTAGAGTGATGGCAGGTAGATCATGTGCCAATCTCTACCAGACGGCATTGACGAGTATTATCCCATCAATAAGGGAGGCTCGTATCGAGAAAGCAGGGGAACCGTGAAAACCCGAATTATTAATGATAGAGGAACCCCTCCCCTTTACCCATCTCGCAGTCAACTTGCCCGCACTTTTCTTAACCGCTTCTCATCACGTCTCGACTTGTCCGTCGAATGAGATTAAATGCAAGAATAAATCCCTTCCATATGAGTAGAAAAATGATAATGCGACATTCCAGGCTTGTTGCCGGGACATAGCTTGTGTAGAGGAAGTCATGCCATACTATCGGGCGACTTTCTTCTGTAAGGCACTCGTAGTACGGAAAGAAATAAGGCTCTGTGTCAGAGTGCTTCTCCCGCTTGTGGAGCCCGTATTTCTGCTTGATTTCATTGCGCTTGCACTGTTGCCCAGGACGAATCTTCTCCTAATATGCGCCCTTGTTGCTCGTTGCTTTGTGCATGCGCCATGGGCGATTTCACGCAGAAGAGATATCTTCTGCCCAGATTTCCTGTTTTAGACGACGCCCGAATGATGGAAAACTGGTCTCGTGGAATTCCGTAGCTCTCAATTTGTCTTTGAGCTATAACCAGTTTGCGAGAAACCAGATAAGGTAGGCAACCCTCTGACAACTAATAGCTCGCCCTGCGATCCCCGGCTCATGTGTAACTTGCCTAGAAGGAAAGGGGTCTCATTGAATCAATAAGTTAAAGGCTGAGCGGTTTAGAAATGACGGACTAGGAAACGAGGGGAAGCTAGTTGTTTCTAGGGACTAAACATCAGAGCTTGACGCAGTCGGAAATAGTTTCCTAAAAAGTTACTATGTACTTCTCCGAGACCCTCAAGATACCTATAGCAAGGTTTTGGTGAGCTTAGGGGTATACTCATGATTAAGAAAATCTTTACGTTTGATATTGATATATGGCCCTAGATTGTTACGACAGTCATTCGTGGCTATTTGTTGATGTTGGCAACTCCGAGGCGATTTCCCAGGAAGCAGGTCACCTTGCGATAGCAGAAATATTCGGGCCCATGAATCAATCTTTTCAAGGCCATTGTCCAAACTGACTTCATTCGTCAAAGAGTGGAGAGAAATCGTCATCGCAAGGAGCTTATAGCACATCCAGCGCAACTGGGTACCCTTTTCAGTTCATTTAATCATGCCAGTAACAAAGACACTCAAATGTTTTCCAGTTATCAAAGGTTGAAGAGCCTTTCGAATTTGTCTCTCATCGACCACAGCTGGATCTCTCCGTAATGGAGGGCTAGGTCATATATCTTAAGAGAATTAAAGAAATATATTAGAGACGTAGTAAGGCTGCATTATGAGATATTACTTGCCTGCTACAAATTGAATAGAGACCTCAAGATTACTATGTAATCTTGTCTTCAACCTGTAATTAGATTCTGAAGCTAGCCCTGCTACATATTCATTAATATTGGCATTGTTCGGGGCTAGGCCCACGGGATAAAAAACGTAGAACCGCCATACAAAAGACCGTGTATTGTATTTACTCTGGTGGAAGGGAAGGTGCTCATAGCAGAAAGAGATTTGAGAAGTATGCTTGGGGTGAGTTGAATCGTCTTCTCAGCGGTAGCTAGTCAGCGTTTCTTAGGAGAACCCCGAGGCAGAAGTAACCCAATTTGTTTCCTGTCAAGGGCATAGATCCCATTGAAGACCGGCATGTGTCAGCAGGTCAGCCTAGGTCTATTCTTTCTATCAAGTTATGCTGGGATTCATGAACGGGAAGACATTTTTCATGCATAGATCATAGTTCAGGTCAAAAAGTTTTAATGCTAACTATATAAATGTCTAGAACGAGTGGGAATCTGTCACATAATAAGCGTAGTGATACATCTCGCTGGAATGGAGGATGTTAAAAGTAGAAGCATGTGAGCAGCTGAGTGGTGGCATACAACATGACGAAGAACTCCGCAGTCGGCCTGACACGTATTTTTTCACAATTAATTTTTCTTCCACTTACTAGAAGATTCATGGTTCTATGTCATTTGCCATTGCATGTTGATTTGGTATTCTGTTTCCTATTGTGCTTGTTGCTTTGATATTGTGGTTGGAACGCAATGTCGGTGGTCTTGATCCGCACTTGGTCGGTTGATTTTCTTACTACCTTGCCACTTTGAGGCTGAGGAGGAGCTACTGACTAACAATAACTGACCTTCTGCTTGATGATTGATGAGGTGGCCATCGCCACGCTTAGTTGCATGATATCATCTGCCTAGTTGGGTTGGGTTCATGACCTATGAAAGGAGGGTGTTGATGATAGGGGCCTAGGGACAAGTATATTGGAACATGCTTCGAATAAATAAGCATAGGGTTCCCGGCATGCATTCGTGATCAAG